AAACTAGAATTCCTGCCTTGCCTCAGTATGTCCAGTGACAAACTAAGGCTGACATGCTGAACTCTTAAAAAGCTAGATATTTACACCTGGAAAACATACGTGTGTACACAATCTGTTTCATAGTACTTCAGGCTCAGAGCACTGAACAAGTATATTGCCTGTATACAATATTTGAAAGCCATGAGAACTACATATTGCCTCACTCAAAATAACTTTTTTGTTATTATTGTTATTTGTTATAAAGTGACATAACTCTTTTCAGCATGTGAATTTTCACCCAAACTACATCCAAACTACCTAAAAGAGAACTGTGACAAATAACCCAAGTATATGATTCTATGATTTAAAACATTAGGAGAGTCAAATACTTTTCAAGCAGAAAAAAAAACCCAGAATAAAAAGTCGAAACACCCAGAAGCTGTGTAGCTCAGCACAGAATACGGTATTGAACTTTTTATCTTTATTTTCAGGCTCATCCCTGCATCTCTCATGATATGTATGCATCAAACAATTTGCATAAAAAGTTTCCACAGAGAAGTGTTTCTGGACTTAGCACAGATATTATTCCATAAGGTTCAGCTCATTTATTAAATGGATACTTTACATTTATAAGAAAGTATAATCAGACAAAAGCATAAATTTAACTTCCTTTGAGGCTCTGTGATGAGACATATGGGAATATTATTACAGGCACATTTGTTCTGTTTAAAAAAAGAACTTTGCTCGTGTTATTACAGCAGGTTTGAAAATCAGAATCAAAACCAAACCTACTCAAGTTCTCAATGTTATGCAAATGTTTTCTTTCTCAATTCTATCAAGGTAAGAGTGTTACTGGAACAAATATGTTTCATATAAGAATCAAGAACAACGAATCTCAGGAAATAAACTTGCCTCACTTCTATAACATTTAAAGATCTTGCAAAGAGATTTGAGGAATTCTGCACAACTTTATGACATGATGCCTCTATTCTTCTTAGTTCAGCATTTCTCAAAAAGGCTTATCTTTTTAAGACAGAAAAAAAGAGAGAAAAATGAAAGAATGCTAGATACACCATTCTCAAAAAATTTTATGATAAAGTGTTCAAGAACCAGCTCTCCTGCTGTGATGCTTTATGTAATATATGACCATCACATTTGGCAAGATTTGCACAGGTCTGCCCTTGATTTGTGGAAGGAAAAAGCAGAAAACCTCACAACTATTCTTCATTCCCAAGAATTAATCTGAAGTCTGGCTCCCTGATGTTTCCAATTTTACAGTGATCCAAATAACTCCCCAAAACCACACCTGAAGCATCATTCACAATTATAGGTGATAGCTGAGGGAAACCAAAGCGAATTTGCTTCCCAGGCATCCCAGGACATTCTCCGTCTCAGCAGTGGCCCTGGAGTGCTGTGAGACGGGGCCATCAGAGGCTCAGACTTGACCTGGAAGCACTGCTACTAGGATTTGAACCATCTTTTGAGAGGCTTTTATCTGAAAAGATAGTGAAAAGTGTCACAAATATACATGATTCTACAAGCTTCAGGAACTATTGCATACTACCGGAGCTTAAAAGAAACTACAGACTTTTTAACTTCTTAGAACCTACCAGAAAGCAAGTGGCCAGCTGAATGGGCAGAGCTACACTCCCTACTTGAGCTGTACGAACTGCACTTCAACTGATTGCTTCAGTTTGCCCTGAATGACTTGCTGAACAGTCCATGGACAATTATACCAGCTTTCTTTTACACCTTTTCCAGTACTTCTGCAAAAGGGATTGAGGCTTGGCTGGAGTAAATGTAATTTGTCTAGTCTAATTGCTCTTCAATTCTTCAGCTGAGCTTATCACAGCTAGCCAACAGTCAGCCTATTACAGCTGGCCAACAAATACAATCCTTATATTAGACCAGACAATTTCAGGATATACTTTAACCTAACAGCTCAATACGTCATTCACATATACAACAAGGACACTATAGACACAAGCACTGTGTTATAAATTTCTATAAACATAGGGTGTTTCTACTAAACCTAGTAGAAGGTATTAAAAACAGTAACAAGAAAAGAAAGATCTCTGTGGTTTACTAAGATGTTGATTCAGTATTTGTTGAAATAACAATTAATTTTATTTTTACTTAATAGATGCATAGTACTCCTAGGAACATGTTTTTTGAACTGTACCATATATCCCATCCCACACATCATGTGTCTTCCCACAAATCCTGCCTCACTTAAATCCTTAGATCATTACTGTTACATTTTATTAACTCTATATATTATTCATAAACCAAAATTTAAATAACAAGAGTGATCAATGATTTTACACCGTCAGATTATTCATTTAGTCAACTCTTACATCCCGATTTGAATTCTGTATATGTTCCCATCACTAGAAGAACTTCAGTTTATATTTTGCTTCCTGGAGGATGTATTGTACCCTTGAGTTGTCTGGGAAGAAAATTTACCTATCACATACTGCATCATATATATATATATCTCTATCTTTTTGAACACATACAAAAATAAGTTCAAATCTAGAACACTCAGAAATGTAGCTGCATACTCAGACCTGCATCCAGGCATTTGTGGCTAAATATTACAGGAGTAAATGCTTATCTTATGCCAAATACATGAAATAATTTTGTGCGAACACGTACAAAAACCTCAACTCAAAAATCACCCTAAAATAACAAGCCATACGGACCAATCAAAATCATAACTGCATCCCCCAGTGCTCCTGATTAAATTTTTTAAAAGGAAAAGCTTGCATTTTAGGAGATACTTGTTCTTGCAACGCCATGGAGGAGGAGGGGTTTTTTTAAATAAAAATTTCCCTTTCTATTCTAAGGCTAATGGACTGGAACTTTACAGTTTGTTTGGCTTTTTAACCGGTCAACCATCTAATTATCAGATTCATATAAGAACAAGAGTTGATGTTCTCACCTAACATTTGTAACTACCTTACACATGTAAAACAAATAAACCACTACCAGTGAAAAGCTTTAAATCAAAATATTCTCCTATCAGCAGAAAAATGCACATCAGAGTCATGCTACCCCCACTAATCAATTTCACACTATTTGCTTTACTTGCAAGATTGACTATGGCATTTATATAGAACAACTAAAAGCTCCCCAAATGTTGCAATGATAGGGAAATGTCAAGCAAACTGCAGTGAGAGAACACATCCAGCCCTGCATGAACACAATGCTCAACTTTAAGAAAGGCATGGGAAGAAACAAGCCAAGGAAATGAGGAAATATTTGAGATGCAGGAAATAGAACAAGATGTTATGGCAGTCAGCAAACTGACGAGAGCAGCAGATTGCCTGTTTTGTCTATGGCAGAGAAGGCAGGATTATCTGTACCTGCGTGCCAGCAGCACAGACAAGCAATACCCACTGCCTCCTGTTGTTCTTGCAACTACTGGAGGAAGAGTTGGGGAACACAAAGCACCTTCTCATCCTCTCTTTTTCACTTTCCCAGCACCTCAGCAACTGTAGGATGGTCCACAACACACACATTACTAAAAGCAATATACTGAAGTACACAATATCAAAATATTAACATTTTAAGGAATAGTAACAGAGAAATAACAGTCCTTAGTTAACTGGTTTTCATAAACTGTTCTGGGTGTGTAAATGTTTAGTGAGTGAACAGCAAGTGAACAGCACAGAGGAGTGATACACCAGACAAGGATTTCTTCTTCTAGCTTCAGCCTATTCAGCCATGTTCCTTCCATTTGGTAGACCCGTTCTCATCACATGACTTGAAAGCCCCAAGAACAGCAGTTACATCAATCTTTCAGTCAAGCGCCAAACTTGTTTTGTGGCCTTTAATACAAATTCCCTAGTGTTTAATGTATCATTTAACCAGACCAGCTAATTATGTTTCAAATCTCAAAACTCAAACTCAGTAATTTACAAACTGCAAAAATTCTCCTAGAATAAAGTTCAAAGTCTACCTTAAATAATAAAAATAATATATAGGAAAAGCTTTTCTTTCCAACTGTAAGAAAAAAATTGTTGATGTAGTAACAGTGCGGTAATGATGATAAGAGATCCTTCAAATGAGCCAGGTATAGCTGTCTCCAGTGCTCCTCTGTGCTACGTAGATAAAGTACATAAGATAAAAATGATCTTTGGTGAGGATTCTAAATTCACCATTACCCCTTTAGACAATCTATCCTTACCATTTTAACCCACTACATATGCATGTACAGAGAGTAAATAAGACCAAATCACACTCATTAAGTGATCTGAGTATGCAACCAGATGCTGATATCACTGCTAGTAAAGAATTTCCCTCCCAGAGAGTGGAATTTATTGTGAAGAGCTGCATCTAGAAACGTGGAACAAGAAGAGGCTCATGGTTCTCAAATGTTGCATTCAATCTCCACACTGGAAAATATGGTAGAATTTGTTACAAAACTGAATGCTCTTGAAAAACTGAATTGTATTTTACAGAGTTAATCACCCAGATATGTAAATGACTGAGCAGTAAAAAAAAAAAAAAAAAAGAAATCACAGCACGCTACTATTTAGTATTGAAACATGCTGAATGTTTCACACACTAGATAACCTCACTATGGCTTGTGGATGTAGTGTTGTGAATATCACAGAAATAAAATCCAGAAAGGATAATTATTCTTCTGTTTTCTGACTCCCCTCAAAACAAGCTATAATGACTTACTTGCTTTGAAAGAAGTAAAATACAGTACTTGTGAGGAGAACACTTCAAATTCTATTGTTTTTTCCTCACCCTAAATACTAAATACTAAATAAATACTAAATACTAAATACTAAATACTAAATACTAAATATTAAATACTAAATACTAAATACTAAATACTAAATATTCATGGATGCAACTGAAGTCAGTAGTGCATCCTATGGCAGGAAAGGAGAGCACCACCAGCTCTCTGTGTGAAGGAGATTCATTATATATCCTGGAAGACACACAGTGAAACAGAAGTTGTACTTTATTTGATATTTTTAAAACACAGTTAAAAATAAACTCACTTGTAAATGTTGAGAGTTGTCAGTCATATTGTCCTCTCGCCTACGAACTTCTTCCAGCAACTGTGCATTCTTCTTTTTCTCCATTTGCTGATTGTGCTTCAGATTGGCAACCTTCTTGTTCTGGTCCTTCATATGTCTAAGAATTGTATACACATATGCATTAGTGTTAATGACTGCAATCACTTATTTTTCTCCATCAGTTAACCTGTGACTAAGACAGGTTTCTCGATTCTCTCTTGGACATATCCTATGTTATAACAGAGGAGCATTATCCAACAAACCTTACACACTCAGTGAGTCTGGGAACAATTTTAATGAGTGCTTTAAGTAGCATTTATTTCAAAGGAAGCAGAAGGTGAAGGTGATGACTAATTTATGTTGTGGAAATTCTAATTTTGAAAACCTGGAATATAAATACAACGTTTCTGAGGATTAAAGTGTGATGGGGTAGAAGATCAGCCCATAAATATGCCACAAAGAATAAAGGATGCTTTTACAAATAGCTTTGTACTTAACAAAACCATTACATTTTTTTCTTTTTTAATAATGAGACTTTATCAACAAATAGATTTATGAGTAACTTCTAATAAAATTGAAAAAGTATTTACCACTGTTATATATTTTCTTTTGTTAAGACTGCACTAAAAATATTTTTTAGTTGTTTAATTATATTTTTCATTAAGTTACCAGAAGCTTTCCTGATTCTGATACTTAGCATACATCCTTTTTAGAAAGAAGGCAAGCTAACTTTGTATGGCAGCCAGTGAAAAAACTATTCTTGCAGTAATGCTTTCTACCTGCTTGGATTCTTAGATATTATTTTCCCAACTTTCTTTGACTTTGAGGAATTTGCTCCCTTTTATCTATATAAAAACAGAGTCATGTGCAAATTCCTGATGAGATCTACTCACTAATCCTATTTTGACAAATGAAGAGAATATTATTCAATGCCCAAAAGAATCACTGAAAATGTCTTTATTGCTTCCACTTTAGAACTTTCCATGAAAAATAAGATACAGAATATATTTCTTGCACTGATTTTATTATCCTAAAGAAGCTAGAATATTTTATATTGACTTCTATCACTGCTTTCATTGTCTCACCAATGTTTTTTTCACTACTTACTCATACTGAGAAATTTACAATGAATCTCTAATCAATAAATATTGCCAGAGTATTAAAAATTCTTAGGAGATACCTCATGTACAACTTTGTAGGTACCATACATAACAGAATAGCTAATCTATTATTACTTAAAAAAGTAACTTCAACTTGCCTAGAAAAATAAAAGTGGGTAAAACTAATTCAAATAAAAATCTTTGCTTTTTAAAAGAATCTACCAGGCTCACAGCTCAATTTTTAAATATACAAGTATGAATTCCTCTATTTGAAAAACAGATTTATCCTGTAGTTGTGTTCAAGAGTTTGCATCAGCAAAGTCACTTGAGAACAAACAGCACACTACACAATGGCCAGAAGAAACCTGCCAACATGAGACCTACCTCAGTAGGCCTGGGAGTACAGCACAAATCACCAGTAATAGATCACAGTGTTTTAAGAAAGGTTAATTTTCTGAAAAACACAACACTGCCACAGCTAAACAATAAAAAGCAAGCAACATGACAGTGCTAAAAACAGCAGGGGTATTTCTGTCAAAGTTACACTGAGAGATTAATTAAAAACAACCAAAGACTACATGTTCCAGTTTAAATTTTTTTCCAGGTCTTGAAGAATATAACAGGTTTAGCTATAGAGTTTTCTATTTATGACTAAATTTCCTCAAGAATTTGAGAATGATGCCCTTTGTCTTTCTAAATCAAATATTCAAATCTACATTAGATGCTTTGTGCAACTCCAAGGGAAAATCTGTTATCTTCCATGGGTCCAAGTAACATAATTCTAAGCATAGACCTAATCAGTATAAAAGTAAAATTAATAGAAAAAGTTACTTTCACCACTTCATATATAAATTTGGTACTTGGCAGAAATTTTGGTGGTGTAATATAACTTTGTGCTGTTAAAATATAAAATGGTTTCCAATCTAACGCTGAGTAAATGATATGTTAATTTATATTTAATCTCTGTAAGAAGTTCAATGTTATGCCAATGCTAACTGCTGCTTTCATCACCCTTCCCTTTCGTAACTTCCCATTTCAGTTTCTGTCTAATGCCACACTGAAAAGCAGAACATGGTAAAACTGCAAAGGAAAACATCTGGCGCCTGTGATATGCAAAACCTTCAAGAGAAGGAAATAAGCAAAGCTGTGTCATAGCCTCTCTTTTGTCCACAACTGACTACATGCCTGTGGAAATGGAAAGAAAATGCTACAATTAAAAGGCCTAGCTGAGCAGTTTTCCTTTGGGCCTGCATTAAAGGTACAGGAAGAATTCAACAGAGGAAACAAATACAAGTACACATTCTCCACCATTTTTTTAAAATCCTTTATCAGGAAATACATGCAGTATAATCCTTGATCCAGTATATTTTTTGAGTTATCTTACTCTGGTATTTTTTCACACAGCTCTGTTTTTAAAACACTTTTAAATAAAATAGATAAGTAGGATATTTGGGAACAGTATACGGTCAGCACAAAATATCATATGCTATTACCATGTAGGATATAAGATATCCACATAGTTTACCAGTAGCTATGCTGTTATGCATAGTTGAGTCTACATTATTTTTATCATGAGAAATTAGTTTCATATGTTCTGCTACACTGCTCCAATTTAAAGCTATAAGACCACAAAATTCATTAGACAGAATAAAATAAATACATTACTGTTTTAAGATATATGTCCTCAAAATCTGAAATGTATGCTGCAGGGGTCTGGGCAGTAGAATTAATCTTACCATTACACATTAACCATATTCTGGTACTAAAATATATGCAAAAGTATCCTCTGTCTGAAAGTGTAACTGCCCCAAAGTAGTAAGATGAAATCCACAGCTTTCTGATTTTCCACATTGTTACAGTTCATTTTGAAGCTGAGCTTCTATTACCTTACAATGAGCTAAATTCTTTAACTACTGCGCTAGGCATTACAGTCAACTCAAACTAGTTATTATAGAACACTATGCTGTTTGTAATTTTACAAACTTCACAGAACTAGAAAGCCAGTCTTCAAAGTAATTCTAAAGCACCAAGCCCAGAGCACAGCTAAGTGGTACCAACACAACATTTGGCTTAAACAAATTACGTTCTGAGCTCATAATGATTAAGAAAGAAAAAGGCAGTCTAAAAAGCAGTGTAGACGACTAACACTTTACAAAGATGCTTAAACTTGGCCAAACATTAAAATGGCTGAGTAATGACACATATAGATGATAAATTTAAATTGCTGTTTGTGTTCCTATGGTTACAGTCAGTCAGCAAGTGTCATAAAACATCTAGCAGCTTCATCTATGGACAAAAAAAGAATTCCAAGTGGAAGCTCAGCTGTCTTCAAAATGGAACTAGAATGAAAATTTTAAATGAAATTTAAAAAAAAAAAAAAGGAACAAGTTCTGTTCTATTCCATAGTTACAAATTGATGGACTTCACTGGCAACTTCCAACTTATTTGATCACTCAGTATAGAGAAGCACTATCTGGCAAACACCCATGCCACATAAATACTAAATGACAATTATATTGCAAGTTAATAAGAGATGAAGAACACAAGATATAAGAAAAAGTTCTAAATAAAATTTGATTCTTCTAATACATTAGACATTCTCTCATTCCTAATGAAGAGAAAAAGTTTATTAACCCGCCTGGATGCGTTTCAACCCACCTGGACGTGTTCCTGTGTGACCTGGTCTGGATGATCCTGCTCTGGCAGGGGGGTTGGACTGGATGATCTTTTGAGGTCCAACTCCTATTATTCTGGGATTTATATAAAGTAATATACTTCTCTAGAAAGAAACTACCTTATTGTACATTAAACTTTGAGTTTATGAATTTTTCAAACTAGATCAAGCCATTGCTCAGAAGTATAAATACACAGTACACTTCAGCTATGCTACTTGAGTAAAAGTCTGCCAGTCAATAATTCCCCATTCCTCTTCCTAAACCTTTCTGATCTAGGATAATTTTCAATAATCTTTCTCAGCACACAGAACTCTCCACAGCCATTAGTCTCCACCTCAACTGGGCACTAGACGTAAAATCAACTGTCTCAACCACAGCAATGCCTACACCTGTTTTCCTCAGAATCTCACAACTTTTTTCAGAAAATTTGTCTTAGTCCACTCACAGTGGAATCAATAGACTACAGCAGCTCAGATTTCTGATACCACTGAAGAACCATCAAAACTATGACTGCTAAATATTTAGGTACACTTAGAATAACATAGATCCAAACAAGACAGGTAAAGGGAAAAGATAAAAAAATCTTATACAGCCCTATAGATTTGTCTCCTATGAAGTTTGGACCAAGGAACTTAAAGCTCCTTAATTTTGCTGTGCAAACACCAAAATGTCCTTGCATCAATTACACTAGTCCTCCATTCTATTTAGGTGGGGTTTTTTAATAGAAGTATCTTTGTAAGAAATAGGCATCACTGTCATTGAGATCCACACCCTTGATCAGCAGACAGACAAATATCAAAACAGCAGTAGAACTTAGTTCATGTTAGTATGAATGTCACTAATTGTAATGGCAATGTTTAACCATGTTCTTGGGTGGTTTTCTTTCCCTGTTCTTCTGGAATAGCATACAAATTGACCTTGTAGTTCTAACTGCAGTACATGTAATTTCTTTGGTCCAACTTCTTAAGAGAGATATTAACATTTAGCTTCTGCATATATTTGAGTATCTTTCAGACTTCATTTTACAGTAGTGTGTCACTGTTGTCTAAACTCCAATGCTTTCATCTCTGATAGCTATATAAAAATCACACTATCTCATTAAATTCCTAGCTTTAATTAGCCACCCAAGTACCTTGGCCAAAACGTTCGTAGTGTAAGTGTGATATGCTTAGTACAGCCTTTACTCTGTTTCATAAAGATTTGGGATTTTTTCCTCAAGGTATCCAAAAAATGCAGACATGCAAAATACTCCCAAGTCCAAAACCTGTAACATTTCTTAAAGTCTCTGCAATAATTATCATCACATTGAACAGCATTTCAATGGGACCAGCTGTCTGAAAGTC